CAAAAATGATCAAAATTTCTTAGGGGCTTGGCAGAGGAGGAGTGGTAGAGGATGGGCCTTGATAGTTTTTAAAAAAGCTCTCTAGATGAGGTTCATGAGCTGTCAGAGTTTGAGACCACACAGTTAGAGCATAATTACCAGCATTTCAATGAGAAATAATAGTGTTTCATTGTTTTTTTAAATGATTGTGACAATCTCAAATTTAGAGGCTCACCTTTGTAGCCCTCTCATCTGATATATTTTTGGTTTGATACAGAAGGAACACAATACTATTTATTGAATTGGGTTTTATTCTTTGTTTTACGGAAGAATTTACCAGTGACTTTTTTCTTTTTTTTTTTTCTTGAGACAGGGTCCCTGTCTCTTTGTTGCCTGTCTGGGCTAGAGTGCTGTGGCATCATCATAACTCACTGCAACTTCAAACTCCTGATCTCAAGTGATCCTCCCATGTAGTTGGAACTACAGGCACATGCCACCATGCATGGCTAATTTTTCTATTTTTTATAGAGATGGGGTCTCATTAGGTTGCTCAGGCTGGTCTTAAACTCATAGGTTCAAGCGATCGTCCCTCCTCAGCCATGATCCACCATGACTGGCTCCAGTGACTTTTTAATTAGTGTGTTTAAGTGGTAACTTCAAGAAAACATTCATGCTGTAAAGTGATATACCTGTATAGAGAAATTACCAAGGATTGTGTGTACTTCTAATGAATGCATTTCTAGTAGTCAGAAGCTTATTTTTTTGGCTCAAACAGTTGTAGAAGGTGTTAAATACCTGTTCTATTACATAGTTTTTTATACACTGATATATAAGCTCAAGTTTGTTATATAATAAATTGATTGGAATTCCCAGTATCTGCGTTATAATTCATAACTTATAGTAATAAAATAGTTTTTTAAACATCATTAGTGATAATTTTTTCTATGGGTGATTGAAATATTTTTTGCTTGTTCAAATAGCTAAAAGGATAATTTTTTGAAATACTTGTACTAATTATATTTTTTATGTCCTTATGTTGTAATAGTGATCTTTGTATCTCTGCATATTTTGATAGAAACATTCTGAACATGTCACAAGTTTATCATGGAAAAAAGTCATTAAATTTTCTTGGAAAATCTAATAAAGCTGGAGAAAAAGAATGAAAAAAGTAAATGTTCTTTTACTCACCTTGGTAAAATTTTTCTATGTAAATGTGAAAAATTTCATAGTCTTTAGTTACTACTGATGAATGATCAGGCACATTGCTATGTATTTTAATTGAGCTGCTTCTGAAATGTGGTGAACTCCACATCTTTCCTTATTAGCAAACAACTGCCATCTTAGGTTTTAATGTCCCTCTATGAGGAATATTTTATAAAAGGTATTTTGCATTCGTTTGTGCATAGTGTCATTGAAACCAAATTTTAATTTTTTCTCATTAAATTACTTCTAAAGTAGCAAATAAGATTAGTCAAATATATATATAGTGTATTGGTGAGAAAAATATCAAAAGTATAGGAAATCACTATATGTGATAACATTTTTTACATGAGGATTATTATCACCATTAAGTAGTGGGAAACTGAAATTTGGCAAGGTCAAGTGTTTTCCCTTAGGTTACAAGGTTGGTCAGTGTAAGCTTCAAAACTTCAACCTGAAGCAAACTTGATTCTTAGATTTCTATTAATAAAAG